CTTTTATTAGAAAATCTTTCTTTTTATTACTATACTTTGTTTAAAATTTTATTTAACATCGGAAAAATTACTACAGTTAGGAAAGTACATATTTGACTTTTCAACTTATACTTGAATCCGTAATATGCCCAATATAAAAGAATATAATAAAACTTTCGGACACAGGGGAATCGTTTCACGAAAGAAGACTTTAAGTAATCGTTAACGTGGTTAACTTCCACTTGCACACAATGAATCCGTCACGAAAAATTTTTAACATATGTTATATAGCTACAATAGATTTAATCCTGTCTGACATTTGCATGTTTATATGCGCGACCGCCTTGCAAATAATCAAACTTTACGAAAAAATTTCATAAAGTTTTACCTCATTCTTCTTTGATTTTTTTACGTAACATCGGTGGATTAACGTTAGAGAAAGAAAATATATGATAAACAATTCAATACAAACGAAAATTATTAAAGGAAAATATAAAAGAGACTCTCTATTTAACTTAAATATTATTTTATTAATGTTTGTTGTATCCGATTGATTTAGCGATGCCTCAACTCGAAAAGCAAGTGGAATTTTAAATTTGTCAATGATATAATAGATATCAGGTTTTTGATAAGAGGTTTGCTAAGTTGTTTTTTATCGAGTTGTCAAATTTTTTATTGTAAGACATCTTGGCTTTGCTGGATGCTATTGCGCGTGTTCTTTTTTACTATTTGTTAAGCCTGTGTTTCTACTGTCTATCGAATAAGTTCTTTTCGCGTCCCAGACAGATTTCTTTTTACAGAACAGCAATGATCTAATAGTTGAAGTAGACACTTCGAGTGTATCATTTCTCAATATCCATTGTATCCTTCAATGCTAGATGCTACGTTCGTTTTCTGAGAAAAACGCATCAAAGTACATATATCGAATAGTCACTTTACGCGAAAATTTTGGTACCCGTTAATTGCTCGATAGTGACACTGAAATGCTGTTTATATCCTATAATGTCAAAATAAATTATTATAATATTGATTTATTCATTTACTAACAAGAAAATATTATTTAATATTGTTATATGTATAGTACATCTATACTATTGTAGGATTACTTTTACTGATTTTAGATAAATTAGTCAAATTGAATATTAAAATGTAAAATTATCTCATGTTACATTTCGCTTTTCTAATCATCTCGTATTTGTTTGTTTTTATTATCAATATGCGATAAGACTCTTAAACGTGTTACACGTACTTGATGTTTTTCGTTTACAAGTTTTATTAGAATGAATGGATCACGGATACATATAAATTTTATCAACGAGCAACTTTCATCTCACGGGGCTAGCCCCGTTTATCCTTCTGGCTCTCCTCCTTCGTACACGTTCTTTACGCGAATCATAAATACGAATTTTCTGCTTGACTATATTTCGCGACCTTTTACCTGCCTTTTTCAAATAGGCCTAGAATTTGTCGCCTGTCAAGGGACACATTCTGAAGGAAAAGTAGCATGTGTCTTTGGACTCCCTACTTCTTTGCCTTCTTATTTTCTTCTTTTAAGATAACATGGTCGAAATAACGAAATACTTTTTTTGTACGTGATAACATGATACGGACTAGAAGATAAATTCATTAGTATTGCGCCATATGTTTTATTATGTATACATATATATATTTTTTATTTTTATTATAGACCGAGGATACATTTGATTTTAAAATAAAAAATAGATGCAAGATAGCATTATATTACACAAAAATACTTATTTGTAATTTATAACACACATAAATTCTATGCAAATTTATAAAAATTCTAAAAAGCTTTTTAGAGGTTTATATATTATGAAGGAGAATTGTATGAATAGAAAATGCAAATATAATTGAAGATTTTGTTATCTTTTTTTCCTATCGCTAATATAATAAATAAATCTGATTATTTCAAAGCAAACACGTTTCTAATATTTTTACTATATTTTTTATTAAAAAATTTCAATGAATATTTCGCAATTCCAGGTAACGCTTTCCATTTCGATTCTCATCAGTCTCCACGTGTTCTTCCTGTTGGTTGTTGAGATCATTCCGCCTACATCCTTGGTTGTGCCGTTGCTTGGAAAGTACCTGATATTCGCCATGATACTCGTCTCGATAAGGTAAGTGCTCCCACACGATTCACGATGGCAATAGAAGAGACGAAGAGCTTTAACAAAAAATTAGCCTCGTACAATACAACACGCTTGCGAAATTAGCGTATCGTCTAACGCAGTTAAGGCAAGAAACTGCGTTCGTGATTGTGATAAAATAAACACAGTAGAAAAACAATTTTCGATCGTAGAAAAAACAGTTTCCGTTGTCCTACTTTGCTCGCATTTTCTTACTTGTCGTGTTATTACGCCATCAACATTATCGATTAACGCTTCGGCGGCGATTTATCAGTACATGTTTACGACAGCAACGTTTTCGTAATTAATATAGCCCCCGTGCGGAAGGTCGTAAACAGACGATACGACGACACTCGCGTTTACAGGAAGGCAAAAAACGGAAAAATGACGACGAGGGTTGGAATCGCGCTTTCTCGAAATGGACGCTAATTCTCGTAACAACTCGTACAAGCATCGTCCGCAGCTGTTTGCTCTCCACAATGCGTTTGTTCCATTTTTCCCCAACGTGAAACATTTAACGCTAAACCCTGCACTTCTCAGATCTTTATCTGTGATAAAGAGCGTGAGAGATACCTACCATCTAGCAGCGCGAAGATGCGATTCAAAATATATAAAATTTGAAATTAAATTATTTAATGTTTTTTCGTTTTTTTCCAAATTTCGATGACATATATTTTATGAGTAAAAAAATAAGTTAATATAAATATATGGGTTTACATAAATGCCTCGTTTCAAAGTTATAACAAATGAGATGTAAAAGAAACAATTGTACTTTATAGAAAGTGCATTAGAAACTTTATGCGTTTTATTTAATCTATGAAATCTTTAGATTTTTTTTATCCGAACATATGTTTGCGATAATTTTTAATAAAGCATTTTTGAATCCATATTTATTTATACAAATTATTAATTCTTCTTAACATGATTCTTTTATTTCACAATCGCCTTACTTTTATTTGATCCATCCATATGACACACATCTGTACGTGTTCAATGGCCATATCTTCTCGAATTACTCGGAAATAGGCGCGATGAGGCGAGTAACAAATAGCAAGCCCCTCGATTTACTTTTTGACCCCGAAACTTATCTCAAGCACATATATTCCTGATGACAAAGACGCGTTTCTCATTAATGTGGTTTCATCAAAAAATATCGGCCAAAATGAGACTTTTCTGATAAATAACAATTACGAGAAGTAAAATGTTGAAATAAAAACGTAACAAATGTTCAAGAATCTTATTTCTAATATTTTTTTTTTTATTTACGAAAGATTTTTTTGATAACTTTAAATTAGTCATTAAAAAATAGAAAAGAGAAAGAAGAAATATTTTATAAAAATATATATGTATATATTATATATATATTTTGTCACGTATTTTGCCTCTGGTTGATAAAAATCCTAAATTTGAGTATATCTGGATGAAGACAAACCAGAAGCTCATGTATATACCATACTAATTTCGAGAAAAGAATAAAATTTAATTAAATTAAATTTATGCCATGTGAAAAAAGTTGAATTGCATCATGGTGTTAGATATATTTGTAGCTGAATATAAAATCATCGTTAGTAAGTTTATTCGTTCGTGTATGCTTTCATTCTAACAAAGGGTATATTCTCATTTTCGCTGACGACACTTTGTGCCACAATCTGCTGCTAATAATCCGCCTCAGTACTCTCTTAATTAATCTAAACCTTTTTCTCCTGAAAAAAGAAAGTTCTGTATTTTATAAAGAAAGAAATCTCACTACGCTAAAAAAGTTTAGCAAATTAAATTGTCGCCTTACACGGACAAATTGCATTTTGAAGAATAATAAATCGCGCGATAAATTTCCAATTTGTCGAGAGAAGAATAATCTTTTAAAAATATTTATATAAAGGAAAACATAAATATTATCTTTATACATAAACCGCTTTAACATTTTTTTGACAATCGATAATCTCGATTATAATTAAAATACCACAATTTGCAATTTTAAATAATTTATGTTAAATAATACATGATGGCATATGCATAACTCGTTTCGAGAAAAATTAATCAAATTAATATTATTCAGTTATGTATATTTATGTATAATTATGTATTATTGCGTTAATATCTGATAAAATTGAAACAGCGAAATTTGATTGGAATTTCAAATTTTTTTAAATGGATATTACATCTACTTCTCTCCGTTTATTTACAATATCGATTCCCGTGTTATATTAATAATAATAACTATTGCCAAACGAGATAATTAATTAATATCAAGTATGAGTTGACTGAACGGCACATATGCTGCATAGACAACATATGTTTATCAATGATGATGAATGCATGCTGGTTCTTTCTTTTTTTTTTCTCTCTCTCTCTCTCTCTCTCTTTTTCTCTCTATCTATCTCTATTTTCCTCTCTGTCTTCGTTACACGAGAAGCATTCTGTACAAATATTTATTCATCTATTTATTATGTGTGTTAATGATAAGAGAATAAAATTGAATAAACAAATGTATATCATTAACAGCATCAGATATCGTTTAAAATACAAGATTTTGTTCAATGTTTTGTAAATATTTTAATGCGATTTAACGCAATGAGAGAGATGATCTCTTTTTTGATAAAATTATAAATTTATTATTTAATGTTTAATATAATATAATTAATAAAATATTACATTTTAATATATGTAAAATTTATATTCTAAAGCAAAATGACATATTAATAAATATTAATTATGATAAAATTTAAAGATGTATATTTTTAACGAGATATTTTTTACATTTTCTATCTTATATTTTCCATTGCATAAAACGATTTTCTCGTATGTTCCTTCATTTCCTGCTGCTTTAACCAGAAATGGGTGCCCGAAATTCGTCGGATGATGAAGATCCGGCATCGCGATACTGTGCAGACAAACAGAAGCTTTTTGTCTTCGCATCTAGGTTATCACAGGAATGAAACATACGCGCTATCTCACTGCGTCGTACAAATAATGTTTAAGTGAATTGACTTATTATAAAGACGCTTGTTTCTTAAGATCGCAGTATATACAATAAATATTAATTTATGAGTTGATATATTCTAATTATCTATAACATATGTGTAATAAATTTTCGGTGAAACTGCATAAAAGGTAACATACCTCCGATTTAATCGCCACTTAAATATATTATAGGGGAGGTTTTTCTGAGTAATTCCCCGCAAGAAATAAGTGGGGGACGGCATTGGTTTAGGAGATATAACAAATTGAAGTTTCACAGTTTTAACATTGTATTTGTTATAGAGCAGACGAAAAAGTGTTCGTTTATATTTACGGGATAGGTACACGATCATGGGTATTTTGTCAATAATGTGTTTCACATATTCCCCGCAGTTTGTTAACAGCTGCGACTACATGAATTTCTGAATCATGTCGTCGCATGTTGAAAGCTTTTAACGAACTGCGAGAAATAGGTGAAACACATTATTGACAAAGTATCCATGAGTGTACACCTATCCCGTAAATGTAAACAAACAGTTTTTCCACGTCTGCTCTACATAAATACAACATAAACAAACTCCATTTTTCCTTATTTTATAATAGAAAAAGTATTAAAATTATTAAACTTTAATTTGTTATATCTCCTAAACTAATGCCGCCCCCCTCAAATTTCTTGCGGGGAATTATTCAGAAGAATCTCCCCTACGATATATTTAAATGGTAATAATATCGGAGATGTGTTACCTTTTATGCAGTTTTACCG